TGATGATGATGATCGTCGTGGAACAGGGCCTGTTGCTGGTCCACCGAGTCGACGAGGATGCAAAAGGTTTTGCCGGCAGGTCGGGAGTCGCCGAGTTCGAGGAGCGGCAAGAGGACGGCGGTGCGGAAGGCGGCGTCCGGGTCCCGGTCGCAGGCCCGCACGTCCAGGGCAGCGCGGATGGCCGGCTCGGACAGGCGGGCCGCGTAGCCCGGCAGCGCCTCGCTCTGGGCCAGCTGGTGCACCAGGCTCAGGATGAAGGACGTCACGGACACGCTGCGGGCCTCGTGTGCCTGATCATACGGAAGAGGAGAGAAGCAAAGAGAAAACAAAAACAAAAATTGAACAAACGATGCAATTTGAACACGTGTCTCTCCCTCTCTCTCTTCTCTTGTGCATTGTATTCTTATTTTGTGAACAGTGTGTTCACACTCTTTCAGACTAAAAACAGTTCTCAATGATTGAGGCGCCAGAGGAACGGAGGGGGGGGGGGGGGTGAGGTGCGAGGAGAGGAGATGTGATTGAAAGTCAACTCAAGAAGTACAGTAGGAACGTACCGTGTACTTGATGGACTTTTTTTTTCGTCAAAAGCAAGTACTGTACAGTTTCGAGGACTGAAGAACGAGAATTTCAAATTCTTAACGCCAATAAGGAATGTATAATGCGACAAGCTTTCGAGTTTTGATTTTCCTTCCCAGCATATAAAAATAACTGTGACAACAACAACAAAGTGTGAGACAAACGTGTTGTAGAAATTCCTCATTCATTTTGGCTCCGAAACGTCAACAGACTTGACTTTTAAAGCAAGTGAAGCTCAATGATTAAAAGACTGAAAACGCGTGCCCTTCCTTTTTTTTTCCACAAAACAGAGTCTTTTAAATTAAACTCATTTATTATGAGTCTCGGGAGAATTCCATAGATGAATAAACGCCCAAGAATGCAGCGTGGATTGAAAATGTAAAAACAGGCAAGAAGTTGATTTGCTAAATTGACAGCATTGACCAACTCGAAAGAGAGAATCAATCAATCAATCAATCAAGATGAGTAAACAATCGAAACCCACTGAGGCTCTACGTACAGTTATTTTTATTTATTTTTTGTTGAAACTTGAAAATGAGTGATTTCTGAATGGCCACATTTTCAACATTAAAACAACAATCGGGAAATCACGCGGATAAAAAAAAGGATATTTCTTTCCTCATTTATCTAGACCTTAAAATACATTACAGTAATGCATTTATTTTTTTTTAATATTTTAAATAAACCCTTCCGGATGATTTCGACGCAACTCTATTGGAGCTTTTTCTCTGCGAAACACTGTACTGTATATACCCCCCAAATAAGTTTCAATATGAGGAGCAATTGTTCTTGCAAGCACAGCAGACAGACACACAATCACACAGAGAGAGGGAGATTTAAAAATGTGTGAATAAGCGTGGAAATCGGGGCGTGTGACTGCCTTTTATAGAACAGTACACAGTGGTGTAGCAGAGCAGTACTTCTACTACTGCAGTATATAGTAGAAGTAAGGTTGAGAGAGAGACAGACAGAGACAGGCGAGCAGAGACAGGGCAGAGTGTAGTACAGTACAGTACTCGAGTGAATAACAAGAGGAGATTCACATCGCTGCACTCGCACCAAAAACGGGGTCTTTGTCCTGAGAAAGAAAAGGCGCACGCACATCATGATACAAGAAGGCCAGCCATTATACTGGTTGGTGCTGCTGCTGATGATGATGATGATGATCGCGGTGGTGATGACGTCGAAAACAACAACAACAAAAACAACAACAACAACAAGAACCTTCTCCCTCTGCATTTGCATCAGTCTCCTCTGCTCATTAGCGACTTCCCACAGATGCACCGCGAATTAATTACTCAACTGTCCGACTGGGGCTCTGCTGCGGCATCTCGGGGCACTACACAGCACCTGCAGCATCAGGCGGGACTTCCTACACAAATATCATCGATCCGTTTTCCCTACATGCGCGGGATTAAAGCTCGTACAGTACTGTACCGGTATGTGGTATTCCGTCCATCTACAGTATCTATATATACATACCAGCGCCAACGGGAAGGAATGTTTCTTTCAATTCATTCCTAGCCTCAAGTTTACAAAAATAATAAAAGGACGATTATTCCTCAATGAACTTTCTAGTCTCAAAAAGACCTTTTCTTCACCAATCAACTTTCTAGTTCTCAACGTTGGAAATGGAGAGAGAGTACGTGACATGTAGGGCCTTTCGTTAAATTTCAAGATCAGGGCAGTCGAGGCACGATGCTTCTCAAAAACCCCCGGCCAGCACTAAATCCGAGACACGAGTGTCATCTCAATAAGGACCTTTCTTCTCCTCTTTCGAGTCTTCGGTCAATGTGAAACCTCAGCAATAATAAATAGCTATGCTCATCAGGCAACGTGTTGTTTGCCAAGAACTGACAAGCACTTGGATCAAAAGTAAAAATCAAGAGTTCTTCCCATGCTTGGTAACTCCATGTCTAACAAATTGCCGGG